TGATCATTTTAAATGTCAATATAGCCCAACACACAGCGCAGCTGTTGTAATTAACCTGTGTGACTTTATTCTGGCAGCACAACAGCTTGGGATCAATGGCTGGTTAACATATAGAATTTATGAGCAGTGGTTATACCACAACTTCATACCTTCACTGTCTCACAATAGACACAGAAAATGATGTAAATGAGAACAACTACATTGTGAATTCAGCTGTATTAAAACACAGTATGTGACCACAGAGAGGAGCAGGAGAGAGAGGAGTAAAGGGCTGGCACTCTGCCAAGTCACAGTTGGCTGTGAAGCAGCAAAGTTAACACAACTGTCTGTCGTCTCTAACTTTGTCTGTGATCACTCATTTTAAATGTCGATATACCTGATGATGCAGCACAGCTGCTGTCATTAACCGGTATTTATGTGATTTTATCAGACGACATCCTCACCATAAACTAAGTATTTGGTCAGCCAAGCTGTCTGTCCCACTCACATGTTGGCTGTAATGCAATTTTGTTGTTTCTCAACTAAAAACAGGACGAAGAAGAGATTTAGCTGTTTTTGTTTCACTGCGGACACAAGTCTCTACTAAAACAACCTGGACACGCAAATATGGATGCAAATTATTTTCATACAAAAAGACAATTTTAAAATTTAGACAGCTTAATATAGATGCAGTCTTAATTATGTTGCCTGAAAATGCAAGCAAAACTTGTTGCTAGGTAATTTTAGCAACAGAATTATTGTGTATGGAATATTTTTGACCTAATGTTTATTTGATAATGTTAACATATTTTCTATACTGTATGTATAATGTATGTATCAATAAACTAACAGTCTGTGGCAGCCTCACTACAACATTAGCACTGTCAGACTTCTCTACTCTGGATATTGTCCTCAAAAAGGTTTCTGGTTGTGGAAGACAAAATAGATTAAAGGCCCCTCCAGTGTATTTTGACATTTCTATGATATTTCATATTTTTCTGAGTCATTTCCTTACAGTGTTGATTACCCACATAGTTTGCCAAATAGCTTAATTTTGTACTCAAAGTTGTGAGAATTGCTTAGTTGTTAAAACGGGGTTGTGAGGACTATAGTAATTCCATAAGTCATACGTCATTCTACAAGCTTGCGCAGGCGCACTGTCATCTCTCCTTAAAAAACTGTCACGCCGTCAGGCCTCCTTAAGTCAGAGCATCAAACCGATAAACATCGTTGTGAGCTAGCTAACCAATTTATCATGTAACTTACTTAGAACTTACAGTAGGTATGTCTTTCTGTGTCTGATGGTCGGTTTGTCTTTCTAGTTTAGTTAGCTAAGTTAACTTAGTTAGTAGTTAGCCGGGTGTAGTTAGCTAGCATAGTTATTGCAAAAAGTTAGCTAACAGAGGGTCTTCATTTTATTTTTTTGTTGGTTTAATGTACTTTCATTTTAATTATGGTATTTGTGCATGCGGTTTTGGATGACAGATGACAGAAAACGCGTTGCACTTTCACCTGCCACAGTCTTATATATAGAGGCTTTCATCGAACGCGTTGCCAAGATGACGCGCCCGGCCAGATGTTAACAAACAGAACGTAACGTTAAGTTCACACTGGGTTTGTGTTTACTGGCTAATAAAGTGAGTGATATCCAGTACAGTGTTTCGCATTCATTCATTTGTTTGTGGCGGCCCACCACATTATCAGCGCTGACCGCCACATATTGATTTCCGTTTTTTTTTATTATTTAAGATGGGAAAACTTGTATTTGATTGCAAAGCTGCGCGCAGAGCATATTCGCTCAGCACCTCCTCTCATTCGCTCCCTCTCTCCCGCAAACACATTGACAGCGGACCAGTCTGTGTATTGAATGGTTAGTATCATGAACACCGCTGCACAAATCCGTCTGGCCAAGTACAGTTTCTTTTCTTCGACTGGCAGCTACTTGTTATGGATTGCTTGCGGAAGTCTGCCGTAAGTTAAAGTTTGGGCCTGCACATGCGCAGTACCGTTTGTTTATGCTGTTACCGTTAAAAGCGTCTATAGTCTGCAACATGCATTTTACTGACGGCCGTTTTACCAATGCATCGGTACCCCCCCACACCACAAGTAAGCGCACCGTGAAACGTAGTGGGAGTTATCGTGTGCAGTGCGTGACAGGACCATCGACTGTATAATTAACAACAGCTGATATGTGCACATTAGTTTCTATCATGGGTAAGTAATAGCTACTCCTGCCAGACAGTAAAGTGTACTAAACTTTACAGTGTAGTGATGTTAACACTGCATATCGTTAGTGAACACTCCAGCCGGTCACTTTTTGGTTGTCATGGTAATGTATACGTCCGACTATTAACCACACCCCCATTTTCTGTTTGAGAAAGAACGTTCACCAAAAACGGCAGTTAAAACTGGCAGGAGGGGGCTTTAAATTTAGCCAGCCAGTAATTAAAATTTCAACACAGAACTTGTAAGATCAATCATTTGGTCTCTTATACAGCGTTCATTGAAATGCACTGTACTATAAAACATGAAAATGACTCCAGGATAGAATAACCTGACTATTAAATGAAAAACTAGGCGGAATAAATAACATGCTAAGACTGGACTTCTTACATCTCTTTTTGTAAGCACTCACCATGCACACACACAACTGATTAAGACACCACAAGCTTTTACTGAGAGTTACCAACTTATTGGCGATTCCACACAACATTAATCCAACGTATGGATTTTCGCATTGGGAGCTGTAGAGCAGAATGAGCTCATAAGATGAAGGGAAGCGAAAGGTAGAGAGACAGCTGTTGGTTTGAGTGATGGGAGCATCAATCAGCGGGCACTTCTCCCAGAGGAGAAATAGTCCAGATATTCTCTTTGCTTCACATCGCCCTGTAGAGCTGGAAAGCACTCAGATATTGGAGAGCCAATGTGGAGACTTTTACACAAAAACAAAGACGGACACACGTGGCTGCACACTCATTAGCTATTTTTAAGCAGAGATCCCGCAATACTGCTGTAAAGAAGTCCAAACATTACACCTTTGTTTTTTTTTGTTTTTTTTTTACAGTGAACCAAACAACATGATTTTAGATTAACGATTAGCATTCTGGAAGCAAAAGAGTGAACAACATGTAACAATGACATCAGCCTCTAGTGCGACGTAACATAGGCATATGGCATCCACATAGGGCAGTGACACGCTTTCCAAACAATACTGATGGCAGGTGAGTGTGGAGTTGATTTTGCTAGCCGTGCACATTAATGCCACTCTGCAAACAAAATTAAAGTTGCTTTGCATCCCATGCAACATTATACAAACAATGGCAGATTCATGCAAGCAACGTGTTTGTGCGATTGGTTTGATGCTAATCAGTGCTAGCTGCATTTTAAACCCCACCGGTGGTGGGTCACACATATAACCTGTCATCAAAACGTCACAGCAGTAAAACAATAATGCTATTGAAATATTTATAAATTTTATTTATTATAATTTTATTAATTTTATTAAAAAATATAACAAATGTTCAATAAATGTTAAATATATGATTTAATTCATTTGAATTACAAACAGGGGCGGCACGGTGGTCCGGTGGATAGCACTGTGGCCTCACACCAAGAAGGTCGCGGGTTCATGTTCTTCCCCGTCTCTGTGTGGGTTCTCTCCGGGTGCTCCAGCTTTCTCCCACCGTCCAAAGACATGCGGATTAGGTTGATTGGTGACCCTAAATTGTCCTTAGGTGTGAGTGTGACTGGTTGTTTGTCTATGTGTGGCCCTGCGATGGACTGGCAACCTGTCCAGGGTGTACCCCTGCCTTTCGCCTGATGTCAGCTGGGATTGTCTCCAGCACCCGCGACCCTGTACGCAGGATAAGCGGTTGACAATGGATGGATGGATGGATGGAATTACAAACAAATTAGCACTTAATTTTTCTATTAAGATATTTATTTTGTTAAGGGAAAGGGACGGATTTTTTTTTTTACTTAACTTCACTCATGCATATTTGTTAAGTGATCCACTGTTTGGCATCATGTGTTTGTCATGTTCTGACCATAAAGAATAGTTCAAAACCACAATTTACAATCTGGGTCCTTCAACTTTCACCAGGAGCAAAGATCAGCCTTTAACTTGAAAGAAATTTGACATTTATCGTGATGATCGATATTGAATGATATGAAATTTTTTATCGTTAACATTTTTGGCCGGTGCAACATTCCCGCCTTGAAAAGGCTGTATAAAAAGGGGCACACGATTATGCGTCTAAACACAGTGACCCTGAAGCACAAATGGCCATCTGTACACACACACACACACACACACATTCATATACCACATATACCAAGTATAGCTGACTGCATGAGCGTGCGTTACAAGCATAGCACTGTTGCTGAAGGACACGGCCACACGTCTCCATGTGTAATTCTACGGCTTTATGGTCGATGGCCACATTAACGTTCCAAGCTGCTGAATGAGAGCGAGACAGAGAATGCACATGGACTCGTGACCACGCACCATCCCTCTTCAACATCGGCTACCGAGACAAATGCCTTGCAGCCAGCCGCCAAGTATAGAACGTGAAACACATGATGAAACATGCAATTAAGAGCTTCAGTGCTGGCGAGGAGCAGAGTGGGGAGACCGCTGGTTACATATTTCCTCCTTGATTAATGGAGGAGCGCTAGGAAGGGCGGGGGTTAGTGAACCCGTCAGGAGTGTTGGGGGTGTTGGGTAACGAGGCGCGGTGGCAGATTTATGTCTCCGCCTCCCCTCCCCCCAATCTTACGCGCCCATGACGAAGTGCCCCCCCCCCCAATCCCATCTCCTTGAAATGTCATTACATGTTCGAATGTAGCAGGCCAGCAGCGATGGAATGAAGATGAGCATTAATGGTAATGAGAATTGGGCTTTAGCCTTTTGTCTCATGTCCCAATGGCTCATTCGATCTTACCCTCTCCCCCAGTCCACATCCATATCCCATACCTCTTCCTCTTTCCATACCTTACAACCTTTGACAATGCAGATTTACCTTCAGTCTGTCGTTGGGCAGGGCCTGGGCTCCTTTCATGATGACCTCCTGGACCCTCTCAACTGACAGGTCAGTTCCAGCCTGCTCCAGACGCTGACTGAAGAAGCCGATCACCTAAAGGTCACACGAGAGGAAACAGCCAATCACAATACAGAACCCAAATTTGCCAAAAATATGCTTACTTGCTTTCTTGCCAAGAGTTAGATTTGTTCTAGAAGACGGATACTACTCTAATTTCTGTCAGTTTAATATGAAGCTACAGCCAGGCAACGGTTAGCTTAGCTTAGCATAATGACTGGGAACCGGTAGAAACAGATAGCTTGACTCTTTTCAATGTATGTATTTGCCTCAAACTTCCAGTGTCGGCCGGGCTGTAGTCTAAATCCTGTTCTTGTTTCTAAATACACAGGATCTCATGTCATCTTGATCGCACTGATATCAACTCCCAGTTCTGTCATGAAGCTCTTTGACTCTTCTAATCCTGCTGTAAGCAGCTGTCACATTGATACTGCAGTAGCCACACCCTATATGACGACACTGGGTGCAACATGGAGATCAAAGTTAGAACAAAGTGGCATCATGCTATGAACAAGAATACTGGTGAATGTTACAAGCTTTTAACAACATTACGTGTTGTTTACAGCAAAACAAGCTAGCTTGATCGGTTTCTAAAAATAAAAGTTGATGAACTGACTATAAAACTAATTGATTTCTGCTTTCAGAGTGTGGAAACCTGCAAAAATTCAACAGCTGGCAGACTTCAGAAATATAATAATGAGATACTACTGAGTAGCTGGTGAATTCAAACAATTATTTGTCAGTGGCTGGTAGATGTTCACATTTTAAAATGTTAATTTTACACCCTGGAACATAGGCTCGGTTAATATGCCTGTGGGCTACATACTCAGAACATACATACAGTATTTTAAATTACTAGTTCACCATAGGGTTTGAGCATGTTTCATCCGACTTAAAATAAGCACTTAACTGAAGCTCAAATTATGTAATGCCTTCTGGGTTTAAGCCCAAACAAGAGATCAAGGAAACTGTGTTTCCACTCACTTCTGTGCTATGTTCTTCCCTGGAGAAATGTTTGATATTTGATAATTAAAAAACTAAGTATTACAGATTCTTTTTAATGCTCTTTTTTGGTCAAACCAACAGTGTTAAATGCATCTACAGGCAATGTTTTCACTGCTCACATTATGTGGTTGCTTAAGAGAATTCAAACACACCAGAGCCTACATAGCAGTGTGTGTATGTGTGCAGGTCTACATCTATCTAATACTAATCTCTTCATTAACTCTGAAGGCATCCCATCCAGGGTTAATTTGGAGGAGCTAAGCAGGCCCATCATCCTGAATCTCATACTTACACACAGAGATTTACAAGCACAGGGAAGGCTTCGGAGAATATCCTTAGGGAGACTGACAACTGAGGGATTCTAGATAGTGTGCTCCCCTCATATTTATGGATACCAGCAAAGCCCATGGCAATGTATGCAGCAGCCTCCATCCCTCACACATAAATACTCATACACACCAAAGCTTCCTTTCCTCCTCTATATGACTAATACAGCTATGAATGACAGCTTTCTCTTGCTCTGTTCCTTTCTTTCCCATACACCGAACACTCTCAATGAATATTTGACACAGAGCCTCTCGACACAAGGGGACTGATTAATTCATCAATACAACTTAAGCTCACAGAGCTCTCAGCATGCCGTACAGTCCAACTGCACAATATGTTAATGATGCAGCCTGCATATGTGCCTTTCCCTGCAGACAAGGAGGACATTCAGGGAAAATCTGTATAACCTTGATCTATGGAATAATTACCACCAATCAGCCAACAGCATGAGGTAAAGTGCTCCCAGGTTCAAGCTTCTCTTAAAGTCACTTCTGATATTTGGGTGCCTATCAGGGAAAAAAGCAGACTGACCGTGTCCAGGTTCTGCATGATGTCCTGGAAGGATGGGTGCATCCTAAACTGCTCAAAGAGCTCCCTCTTGTAGAGCAGCGCATACACCAGGTTGGGGTTGTGGTGTAGAGAGTTGCACAAGCAAGAGTTGATGATTTCCAGCATCATGCGGATCACCTCCTCAATCACATTCAGATCCTGGGCCTGGGGGGGAGAGGGAGGATGGTAAAAGGTTAATTGGTTTCCCACTAGAGTGGTTTCACTTATAATGATGTTTTTAAACGATTGCTTCCTGATTGGTTGATCAGCAGGGGGGAACAGAAAGGTGGAAGAAATGGCAGAAGGATGGATGAAAGGAAGGATGGAGGAATGAACAAAGTTGTCAGGCAAGGTCTTAGTGAGGGATAGATAGGTGACCTTGTAAGCCACAGAACAGGTCATGTCACAGTGTGTTTCCTCTTGGGGCAAAGACAACTGTCACTAGTGACGGGTGACAGTATGGGAAAAGAGGGGTGTCGGAACGATGGAGAGATGAAGGGGTGTTGAGTGGCTGACAAGATCAGTTACTTACAAAAGTTCTTCACACAAAGTCAGATCAAAATGTAAAGCAATTAAGCTCAAATGCTACCACCAGCAGCTGGTTAGCTTAGCTTAGCACAAAGACTGGAAACAGGAGAAAAGAGTTAGCCTTGACCTGTCTGTAAGTAACAAAATCCGCCTACCAACCGTGGACCTATTATTATAACAAGAAGTGAGAGAGTGTGAGTGTCTGTGTGTGTGAGACAAATATGTTGTCCATCATAAGCTTGTCGTAGTTTTATTCAATCATGTGATAACCAAACCATTCTCATGCCCTTCAAAAACACTTCCTTTTATTCATCTCTTGTAGTAAATTAAATCAGCACTAGAGAGCCAAGTCTTTACATTACAATATTGAAAAATGTTTTCTGTGCCGTATTGTTAGTTGTTGAGGTCTTTATAGTCGCGTGGGAAAGTGTAAAAATTTACTTTTGCATAAGAGACCTGGTCCAAATTGACCTGAGAAAAACTCAATCCAAAATGTTGTCCTGAACAGTGGAAGAACACCAACAGTCAGTAGCATTTCACAATTTACATATTAAGTCTTGCTTCAGAAACATTTTTTTCTCCTGTTATGGACTATGTTGAATCATGTGATCACAGTTAAGTCTGCTTAGATGCACTCAAGTATTAGACATATCAACGCACATAACCGAGAATTTCAGAAATGTAACAGGACCTTGCGCAAATTAAACTCTTAGAATTCAGCCTGACTTTGTCCCAGTTGGGTCTAGGTTACTGGGAACTGGGTGGACCTGTGATAACCTCGAGACATGGACATCCTCTTCTAAGAAGTCGAAAGCTAAAATGATTATTTATAATGATTTTATAAAAATTTTAATAATGATTTCTACATTTGTAAAGATCAAAATGTTTTGCTGACATTGTAGGTTGGTGCTACGAAACCTTTAACCTTTGTTCCACCAAGTGTAGCTCTTGAAATAGTTAACTTATTTAGCCGTAGGAGTTTTGGTAGTTCCAAGAAGATCGCTCTCGTCATTAATATGGAAATCTAAGCATCAAGGTATTCTAAAATCTGATCAGACCATCTGCTCTATTTCGGGAACCTGCTGTTTACAAACAGAGATTCTATCATGCATTGTTTTTTAGTTAGTGCGCTCACAACAATGTGTCCGCACAGACAGACAGACGCCACCATGACGAGATAACGTCCCACATGGTATGCTCCATGGAGGTACACAAAGGAAACAGCAGAGAGACTGTGGGAAAATGAATAATCGTTATAAAGATAAGAACCAGGCAGCAATGAATTGCAGAATACATTTCAAGAGATCATATATGATTTCCCGTAGTGTGACTACTGTGGGTACAGATCTGCAAAATCTATCATGTACTGATTGTATTATAGATAAGATTCCTAGATGCTGCAGTTTCCAAATCAATCTAAAAAAACCCAAAAACAATGAATAGTAGCACGCTTCATCTCAATGAAAGCAAATACTGCAAGCAAATGTAAATGTTTTTCACCTGCCAAAAAGCAAAAAAAAAAAAAAAAGTATGACAATGCCATACAATTTTGTCTAATTTATTACAAGAGTATTTTAAAAAGTGTTTAATTAAGTGTACCGTGAATGTTTGCCGTGAGATGTATCTTCTCTTTAAACCGTATATCTATGTTGGGCAGAACAGAGCGAAAAAGCTAAGAAGAAGCTGAGACAAAAACACAGACCAAGAGAATGCAGGAGTCAAGAACATTGAAAGCAGCTTAGCTTAATGCCATAGTATACTGATGAAATAACTCCAATGGTAGAATGACATCTAATGTAACACACACGGCAAAGACTCTCCAACCTGTTTCAGTGCTGATCCTGAGTCTGTATGATTATCAGGAATAGCACTGACCAAGTCACATTTAAAGTGTTATGCATGTGAGTAAATCTGTCACCAATATAGAGACTTAAATCCATTTTTTTGTTTTACATAAACACATGACAACACAGTTTTTGTTTGAATCCCTTAAAAAATTAAAAAAATAAAAAAACCAACTGAGACCAAGATATGTATGGAGCAGGACACTTTACAACTTCATTGTTTCATATACAACATATTTTTGGCATTTCTGTACACATACCCCAAATCAATGAATGTCTGATTGAAAATTATTTTAAGGCATCTAGTTTTTTGGAATACACAACACATAGGATCCGAAGACAAGATTAATAGCGTTTACTTTTGCCTTCCTGGTGACGCTTTGCCTGTGTCCCTCAGCTGTGCATTAGAAGTCCACTCACAAGGGGACATGATGTTTCCTGCATGACTATGACCAGACAAATATATTAAAAGATTTAGTCTAAATGACTGCCTGGCTACTCTGTTAATACCTGCCTCTACGGCCAGAGTTCAACGCAGATGGGTAGCTTTCCTGCAGTGTGTGGGCATCAACTTACATACAGACGATCCCCTGCAGACAGTGTACTATTGATCATAATGTGACAGTAGCTCAGAAAGGGACTGAATACCAATCAAAGACTGTAACATTTAACATAACACTAGAACAAGTATATAAGCATTACATAACTTCACAACTGCATAATTAGTCAAATTGTGGGATTGTGAAAGAAAGAAGTAACTTTAAATGCTTAATTGACCAGTTGAGCCCGTTGGTCCCAAAACTTCAATCACCATTTCTGCTTTACAGGAAGCCTCGCCTTAGAGAGTACTCATCAGCAACTTCCTCTGAGGTTACATCCTGGCTCATTTCAGGCTTGAAATGAGAAAAGTGTATTCCCCTGGAAGTTTTGCAATTCCTGTAAAATACATTAGAATAAAGTGCCGAGCAGGCCAGTTGAATCTTTAATCTATAAATCAGTAAAGCTTTATAAACAAAGGCTTGTTTCCTGCACTATGAGACACATTTAAACCCTTAGAAAATGTAATAAAGAACATTCAAATCCGTTTAGCCACAAGTTACCATAAAAACAAACAAGACCTTCCATAGAAAAGAATACAGGCCTTTATGTTTTCCACAGCTAGACTTATCCTAAAGGATTCATTTTAATGACACATCATTGTTGTGATGATGACCTGTTTTGACCAAGAATTTGCTAATACCAGCTAAGACCAGATTCAAAACAGCAGCTAGGCGAGACTGCAATGACAAGCTGATTGGAAGCTGAGATTCCACTTCTAATCTGGGCTAACCATCTTTATCGAGACGTGTGTATGTGGTAGCATTTTATATTCCATCTTTGGTGTCCTGCTTTGGAAACAAGTCCTTATCTTATAAATACCTTTGCTTCCTTTTTGGTAGCCACATATCAGCATATGCACAATCACATGTACACAGAACCAGCATCTGAAAGTAGGCAGGGGGATTAGCATGATTGTGAGTCTGTTGCACGTTTACCATGATTCAGGATTGCCACACTCAATAACGCATTGCATTGACTTCCACAGGCTGGCGGAGGAAGGTGTGCGGTGGTGTTAAGCTTTAATAGGCAGACCTGGATAGGCAAGTGGAGGAGAGCTGGCTATAATGAGGATTGATTGTGTGTCTGGAAGCAGAGGGGGCTCTGAGCTCAAATCCACTGCCTAGCTAGACCTGCTCTACTCTGTTCTACTGTGGCAGGCCATAATTAGACAGAATGCAGGGATAGATATTGGAGACAACCGAGTAGGAGGAAGAGGAGGCAGCAGAAGGCGGCAAGAATGGAAGCAGAACAGTTGATGGAGAAAGTGAATGCGATGAAGAGGAGACAAAAGGAGGAGAGGGAGGCCGAGTAGGAGTGAGGAATGCCTGGTGTGTTTGTTCTCTAGCTCTGCACCCAGCTTAATGAGATTAGCCTGGGAGGGAAAAAAAATGCCACACTGGGGAATTCAGGTCACATGAAAATAGGCTAGCTAGACGTCTGCTTGCCTGTGTGTATGTTTGTCAAGTGGATGAGATTAAGAGGTCCATGGTCTACTTTTGAAACCCAGACAGGATTTAAATATACTGGCTCCTCCTCTTCCACTTCCCACTCTGTTCGCTTGCACTTGTTTCCCCCACAAAAATGCTAGACAGCCAGAAAACACCTGACATGTGTTTGTATGACTGCATGAAACCATTACAGCCATTCTTTCTCTTGCTCATCCTTCCTGATTTTTCCTTCCCCACCCCTCCTCTTCTCCTTCTCCTCCAGTCATGTGCTATTTTCCAGCCTCCTGCATTGTCATTTAGTCACAACCACTCATGCCGCTATTTAATGTCTTCTCTCCACCCAGAAAAACACAGGCCTCAGATATAAGCTATATAATTAGTCGCAATGATCCCCATTTTACTTGATTTACCATTTACACAAACCTTACAGGAAGGCTGTGTACTTATACACCTCTGTGTGTGTGAGTGTGTGTGTTTGAAAGCTCTCACATTCTCATTCTGCCGCACCTCAACATGCTGGGCACGAATGTGTTATGTCTGCAGGTATGTTTGACCTTTGCTATCTGTCTGACAAGGGAAATTATAGAGTTTACAGATGCAATCAGTGACTGGGAAGGACAGTGCCAACACAGTCTGAGTGTGTATGTGTGTGTCTATCATACCCATGCATGTTTTTATGCAAGTGATTTTTTGTGTGTGTGTGTGTGTGTGTGTGTGTGTGTGTGTGTGTGTGTGTGTGTGTGTG